ACGGAGGAAATGGAGAACAATATGAGTCAGTGAAGCGGCCCTTCTGCCGGCGTATCTGATAACTGCAAACAGTCACTGAGATTCTTGGGGGAAAAAAAAGGAGAAAGGAAGTGTAGCGCATGCAAAGCGTCGCTGGCTGCCGTGTTATCGGTGAGACACGCTCTCCTCCCCTCTCAGCCCCCCCACGGCACCTCCCTGCCATAAGCACCGGGGCCCATGAGCGGCTGGCGGCTGCCGGTCGTGCCAGACTGGGGAGGGCGTGCCAAAAAGCACAGCTGTGCACGCTCTTAGAGTACGGGAGCGGAGTAACCAGAGGACATCTGAAGACAAAGTGGAACCAGTTCTGATTATCAGTAATGGGTAACCTTTACCACAGGCGCACAGTAGGCCTCCTCTACCCTGCCATCCGGCACAGCAGGCCGCCGTGGTGCTTATCCCTCTGTTTGCCTTGCTTTTTAAGTAACATTCACTTGTGTGTATTACTTTTGGTATAACTGTTGCACGGGATGGTTTATTTAGTATAATTTATTACAAGGCAACTGGTATAGAAACTTATCTGTAAAGAAAATTGTCACAAATACACATCCTGTATTTCACATTTCTTTGCTAAATGCATCTGACAGGTGAACACATTTCCATTAATCTGTAAACTGTCGTATTTTAACACCTGAATGTATTTGCTAATTCACCCGAGTATATACAGCACCTGGTGGTTTTGCTATAAACAAAATAGGGCCGTGCTGCGGATAACTCCAGCCTCTGAATTTATTGCCAGAGTGCAGCAGCTAATTAAGGCTGAAATAGAAAAACAGAAAGGTAACAAGTGTCATCCAACCTAAAAAAGGAAACCGTAAAAACCCTTAAATTTGATAAGAACCACAACAATAGTCCAAAAGAACCTTTCCTGCTTAAAAGTGACATCATTATTTTTGGTGAATGGAGCCCATTCACACACACTCTGTATTTAATAACAATTCAAACACGCAGAAGAAGGAGAGACATCTCATTTTCAAAAAGAAATCCGGAGCCGGGTTATGGGGACGACGAGCTTTTCAATGGACCCATTGTTACGGGAAATATCAGGCTGGCTGCTTCAAACCGATTCCACCGGCGGCAGAATAAAAGGGAGAAACAGCCGTTTGGCTTTCAGCGTCATACAAAAGCAAGAAACAGAGCGGCGCATACAGAAGGGAGGGGATGAAAGGGGTCTGAGGACAAGGAGCAGTGGTCCGTGCTGAGGCTGTGCGTGTGTGTGCGTGTGTGTGTGTGTGTGAGAGAGAGAGAGAGAGAGAGACAGACTACAGGGGGGGGGTCACATGTTTGTTCTGACCCTGAGGAAAATGAGGCCAGGGTGTGGAACGGGCCAGCTACCCAAAAGCACTGCAGATACACAGCTGCTCGAACACAAAACTCCCCCTAAATCGGCTCAGCTACCTTCTGCCAGCCCTTACAAGGCGCACGGTGCGGGGGGGGGGGCTCTGGCCTCCAGTGAAAAATAAAGTGAGCTCAGGTCTTAAACTACTCAAACCAGACAAGGACAACTAGCAGATTTCATTACACCGGAGCAGTGCATCATAAAAAGTACACTGGGTAGCCTATTGTTATTCAGGTAACTGTATACATAATATAAATGATTGAAACAAAAAAGGGCACATGAAGGCTGGGATGGGGGCATTTTGGGGGGGGGGGTGCAGGTTGCGCGAATGTTAGCATTTAATCCAGGGACCACGATGGAGTTGGGGAGCCCTGGTCTTTGGCTACCGCCGTGGCCGTGGCTGTGGCTCGTGCGTGATCGGTCTGGACCGGCGCCTAGCGATCGCAGACAACGTGCTAAACCACCAGCGCCTTGCAGCACTGGCAGCCACACGCCGAGGCTCTCGCTGGCGGATCTGCGGCGCCTCTCGCGTCGGCTGCCCTCCCAGCGGGTCAGGCTAAGATGCCATTGGGCTCCGCCCACTAGCAGCAGTCGCCATGGTGATCCCTGTGACTCCACCTCCTCTGTGCCTCCAGTGCATGATGAAGTGGAGGTATTACCCATCATCTTAGGAGCCCTGGCTGGAACTCGGGGGGGTCGGGATCCTCTGGAGGTGGAAGAGTCACATTCTTCTAGCTCGCCTGTTACCACTTTTCTCTTCGACACGCTTTCTGCCAAAATGTAAAAGTAAACGCTCAAAGCAGTGTTACAGCAGTCTGCAAGCCAGCGGTATAAAGAGGCAAATTGGTTTTAGAACCAAATGCTCAAATAAAGGCTGTGCAATTAGAGTACAACTGAACGTAAATCCCTTCCTGCTGCTTTGAGGTGTCTCCGGTCTGTTCCAGCGGCCTGTTTCTTGGCAGAGTGCAACATGGATCCTATTCTTAGCGTTCGCAGGCAAAGTGCCGCTCGCGTAAATTAGCGAGTGTTTGTCAGGGACCCGGTCACAATGGCCCGTGCAGCCGGGTCGGCACGGAGAGCTTAATAGCTGTTTACACAATAGGATAATTACACAGTAACTGCAGCAGGCGGACGGCGCTGTGGAGACATGGATCATTTTAGGCTAACGGGGCTGCAGTAGTCATTGATGTGCCGCCGCCTCCTTAATAAGCTCAGGTGCAGGCACAGCAACCGCTAATACACTTATTCGGGTGGGGGGGGGGGGGTAATTGCTACCTGTCAGTCAAACATCAGCTCATTATTTTAAATAGATTTGTCGTCTCTGAGCTCATCGGTGCCCTAGAGACAAAAAGAGATGACCTGGTACATTCAACACCCAACACAAACCTGCCAACCCCCAAGAATCCAAATACGGGACCCCCCCCTTCTGCTGGTTGGTGTTACACAGCAAAACCCAGAACACTGAGGTCGACCCGGACCGGGCCACACAGCGGCGGGGGGGCGGGGGGGCCATGGGGCCGGGGGGGCCGTGGGGCCATGGACATTCCCAGGACAATTAAAACGTTTGCCCTGACGATACAAACCAGGGGGAGGATTAAAGACGGCCAGTTCATACAGCAATAATGTGCTTTTGTTTGAAGACAGTGGGCTCATTCACTCCTCCGCAGATTCACATTAGTAAAACAGGAAATAATTCCGAGTTGGGGTGGAAAACAGGAGCTGAAGGCTTTGCCCTGAGGGTGCGCCAGACAAAGGCAGGCTCCAGTGTCAGCACCATTATGATCGAGTTTCCGAAAGCTTCTGACGGGGGTGGGGGAGGGGGGCACGGAGTGCTCTCAGAGATGGCGTTTTGGCACATGTGCACAAAATATGAATTATTAAGTCGCTTCTGTTTCTGATTAAGCAGGCACTGTCAAAGGACTGTCGATATGGGCATGAGTAACACAGAGGGCACAGCTATGACATCATCTACATTCTCCATCACATCCATTTCTGTAGCTCTAGGTGCTAAATATTACAGCACTGTGCAAACGTCTTAGACAGTCAAAGGAAATGCTGAAAGCTGATTTTAGTTGTAATATAGCTGGATAGTAAGTGTACATTTGCCCAGAGCAAAAACACATTTTACATTCAAATATACGCAAATTTAGAGTAACACAATAAAAACTAACAGGGATGTCTTCTGTTCTCCAAGAAGTTCCTGATATCTTCTTGGACGGCTAGATGAACACCGCTTCAGCTCCCAGTCCTCTCCTCAGGGGCGCCCTAGTCATTACATGTATTTGTTAAATTTCACCACCAGCTCAATTAATGAACTAAATAGGTTTTAAAAGTCATGGACGTGTTGATTAGCCATATGAGTTGTGTTTGTGGTTGAGCCAAAAAAAATGGGTGTATTGGGTGGTTGCTGTAAATGCCGAGGTGATTATAGGAGAGGTTTGAAATGGTTTAGCTAACACACTTTTACAGGCATGATATAGTTATACACGGACATGAAGGTCATTAAAACATAATTTTCTTTGACTGCCTAAAACTTTCAAATAGTACTGTACTTTTATATTATCATTGTACCTTACATATTCTACTTTAATGCCTGGTGCTGGTGGCATTGCAAGACGGTGTCTTTAATATTAATTGTTAGGGCTGCTTTTTAATTAAGGAGGAAAAAACAAACTACAAAGTACAGTAGAACCTCCGATTGCCTGATATGTGAAATCCCAAAGGGGCTGGGGGGGGGGTTCTCTGCCCTAATGAAAG